AAAGGATTCGATTGGGAGATCTAGAGCTGATGTGGGGCCATCGCTTTGACTATGGAGAAAATTTTCCATGTGATTGGAACACACAACTCAGCATGACAAGTAATGTTCCTTACCAATAACCTATGAACACCTGTATCCTTATAGTATAACAATTTAATACATTTAAATTTTAATAGAAAAATCAAAATAAACAAGACATGTACTATTCCCAACCCCTCTCTCACCTCTCTCTCTCTCTCCCCAACCCCATCTCTAAATAAATTCCCCGAATCTTGATGAGATCAAGATTGTCAAATCGGGCGCACGGCGTGGACAAAGAAGGAAAGAGTTTGCAATATTCCATTTCTTATGCAGGGGAACAAGATTGAACCGATTGACATCGCTTGAAGATGAACTTCTGCTGGGAAAGGGATTAATGGAAGAGAAATAGTGTGCCTTTACACTTAGCTAGAATGGCGATCAAAGAGGAAAAGCTATAGTGTACCTTTTACACTCAGAATCCACTCAACCACCTCCTTCTGAGCCGCCATCAAAGACCCATCTGAGATTTCTCCACTGAAATACACATGGGTTTGTTCCTCTTTGGAGATTAGAGAGGAAAGTTCATCATTTTCCCATAACATATCACTTTATAGGAAAATCAAAGGGAAAGATGATTGCTTTTTTGAAAACCCATCACAGTTCTCGCTATTCTCCTCACTACTATTGGCTCCCAAATCTTCCTCAAATCCTTCTTCGCAGAATAATAAAAGATCGAATGCCATTGGAAGGTTTTGGAACTCTTGGGGTTTCTCCTGCAAAACCATCTTCTTCAGAGAAAAAGAGAATAAAAGCATTGGTCATTACACAAAAAGAACAAGGGAGAGAGAAAGGGTTGAGCTCATGCCCATATCCATTTCCGAGTCTGTTCCTTTCTCTCTCTTTACTTTTTTTAGGAGAGAGAGCGCCAAACCCAACAAGCAGGTGAAAGGATTTTTATCTCAGAACTCTTTTGTTTAAGATTTTTCCGGTAACAATGGGGGGAAAAGAGTTAGGAGGAGATGGAGCGTTTTAGGAGACTGGGACTAGAAATTTTGGGAACCGTGCACATGTTGTTTATTTTGATTTTTTTAATAAAATTTAGATGTATTAAATTGTTATGCTATAAGGATACAGGTGTCTATAAGTTATTGGTAAGGAACATCACATGTCATGCTGAGGTGTGTGTTCCAGTATCATGGAAAGATTTCTCCTGACTGTGAACCTAATTGAATTATCAGCCACTTACATTTCCAAGGACACGTGTCGGTGACATTGGTGCTCTTGTCTTGTCATATGTCGTACACAACAATTTGCATAATTATATTTTTGGAAGGAGGAGAAGGAATTGGATGCACTAAATACACTTTTAGGTTGTGTTTGTTAAATATTTTTAGTCCGGATCGACTTTATCTAGAACTAGGGGTGGGCAAACATGTATAGGAACTGAGAGTAGGAGTGGGTAATTAAGGGGCGGGCTGAGTCCTAGTATTTGGAATAACGGGACCCCGAACGGCTTGTTTCTAACTATAACAACCATTAGTAATTCTCTAACCCTAATCCATTATCCATACTCCTTTCCTTCTTGGACTTCAAACTAGACTCCCACCTGAGTCCTTGACTTCGGACTCACTTCCATCCACACTCTTCTCCCCTTCGACAATGACAACATTGCATATATAGTATTCACCCAGACAACCACAGCCGTCCCGACCACACGAGTCACGATATCACCTCACGATCGGAGAAGACAAAGATTGTGGACAACCACAACCGTCTCGACCACACGAGTCACGATATCACCTCACCATTGGAGAAGACAAAGATTGTGAGGCTCTAGGTCGAAGAAGACGGAAGGGAACAACTCGGTTGCTGACCATCCAATACAATTTGAATTGGATGATTCCACTACGTTTTTAACTTAATCGACGATCTTATCACCACGATTCAAGATTAGACTCCAATGGACGATGACAAGTCCATCGAGTTCGCACGTCCTGAGAAAGAAGACTAAGGAAGACAATAACTTCAGGTGGGGAAAACTTCTTCTCCCATAACCGATTCTCTTTTGTGCTGAGGAAGACAACCTCAACAAGGTCGTCCCTTCTATGGTTGACAAAAAAAAATGATATTGGTCCCATGTACCCGGCCCGTTTTGGCTTGTTTCAAACGAGTCGGGTTAGATCCGGTTCCCAAATGCTAAAATCCTATTACTCGGCTCAGCCTGCCCCGTTACTATTTACAACAGGAAAGGTCTGATTCCTTTAAATTTGGGCCCGATTCAGCCCGTGCCCATCCCTAGCTAGAACTACTAGTCTGTGTTTGGTGTACTAAGGACTAATATTAATGAAACTCAATCAGACTAGTGTTCATTAAATACTTCACTATGTGGTCTTAGCGTGACATCTTGAAAAAATAGAGGGCTATTAAGAGAACTTCACCAAACCTTTCGCGTCTGCTTTGCACCTTATGTGCAACCACAACTTATTGAAATCCTCTGCAACCACATCTTCTTGCTCGAAACACTTCTTAGATGGATCGAGTTTCGGGTCCTTGTCAATCTTGAGCTGTAAGATCCGAGCGACTAGAGAAAAGGGGAGGAAGGAGAAAGAGCTAGAGATTGGAATCGAAAATGGTGGCACCGAACAAGACAAAGAAGACCGATGAGAGAATCAAGATAGAGATAAAGTGGGCGTTGGACAAGAAAATAGGGAGAGGGAAGAGACATGGAGAAAAATAGGGAAAGCTTTCGAAATAGAGATAAAGAGTTCTAGAAAAGGAAAAAGAAAACAAAAGAGAATTGCTTTTTATTGTCATAATTATTAGTCTGACACTGCACTAAACGCTTCACTAAGTCAGTCTAACATGGTTTATTTTAAGCCAGTTCAGCTTAGTTCCTGAAGTCAGTCTAATGTGAGATAGTCTAGTTCAATCAACGCACCTTTATAGTGAGTCTATATCTAGTGCTCGTTGTTTCTCTTTGTAAAACCCTAAGTCTAATAACCCATAGTCTAGTTCAATAAACGCACCTTTATAGTGAGTCTATATCTAGTGCTCGTTGTTTCTCTTTGTAAAACCCTAAGTCTAATAACCCCAAATCGCCTCTTATTCATTCTGCTAGCATCGGAGGCATCCCACTGCCCTTTTTACTAATCCTCATCCAACATCCTCTTTCCTCCTAATTCTCATCCCGCACTTACCCCCTCATACTCTTTGTTCTGAATTTTCCCGTTTTTCCTTATTCCTTCTTCCCACTTTTATCCTGACACTTCTTCCTCATTCTTTCTAAAAAGCTATCCCTTTCTCGTGCTCTGCTTTCAATCGTTTCTTTGTTTGACGTTTTAAGAGTCTATGACATCCATTCTTGGTGTTTTTCGGCATTCTTACTGATTAATATTACTAGTTTCCCACCCCTTCAATCTACTTGTCGTCCTTTTACAAACCCAAACCTTCATTTTCACCCATCCCCTTCATCTACCTTCCATCCCTATAATGGATACCCACCCAAACCTATGCTACGACCCTCAAGCGAAAAACCCAAGATGGATGCCATATCCATTTTTGTCCTTCACTGCCCCGCCCTCGACGGGAATGTTGGAATTTTTCTCTCGAGGCCAAGTGTTATGCGGCTTAGCCAAAATAAGGTTATTTTACACATTTTATTTTTTTTAAATATTTTTTTCTCCTTTATAATATCATAATATTAAAAAAAAAAGAATGCTAAGAAAGGCATTACAAATACAAACAAACTAGGGTTTCCAAAAGTATCAGCCAAATCCTTTTTACCTCAGACAAGGATTGTCTACCCTCCCACTTCCGGTGCCCTCTTGTTTTGTGTGGTCACAGTTAAGCCACGTTAACATTTTATATTGTTTTTTTTATAGAGATAATAAGACAAAAATGAATAGTAATATAAAATATTAACGTGGCTTAACCGTGACCACACAAACAGGAGGGCATAGGAGGGCAGCGGAAGTGGGAGGGCAGACAATCCTTGTCCTTTTACCTCTGCTGCTCTTTTGTTAGACGAGTATACGTGTAGTAAAAGACTTTATTTTATTATTTATTTCTTATAAAAGTCTACTTAAAAACAATGAATTTACTAACCATCCAGAAACCTATTATGTGAGGTTTTTTATGTAAATGTTTTTTATTTTTTTTTTTGGAATTTCTAATAAAAGAAATCTTATTCTAATTACAAGTGTATTTTTTTCTCAATTCGACACTCCTTACAATTGTATAAAAAATTTAAAATAAAAGTAAAATTTTTAGAATAATAATAACAAGTACTTAACATTTCTCCCTATATATGTGTGTGTATATATATATATATATATATATCTCGAACAACGTGGACCCCTCTGATTTGATTCTCCTCGCTACCCAAAACTTTATCAGAATCATAATTTTCTCTGAAACGGCAAAATTAGTAAAAATATAATTATTTGTTAAATCTCTTCCGGTACTTATTCAATTAGACCATCTCCAGCCTTTGGGCTAAAAGTCAAATTTTTTAACCCGAAAAATTTGGCTTTTAGCCCAGAAACATCTTTTCTACTTCAACCCTTCTGCCCTAAAATTTTAGCCCGAAATTATTAAAGAATAAACTTAGGCTAATTTTTTTCTTAAATCAATTTAAAAAAAAATAAATATGTAGATTATTGTAAATTAATTTTATGAACATTTTAATTTAAAAAAATTTAAATTCCGATAAACATTTGGCATTTAGTCCGGGGGAAAGCTGGGGGGTATTTGGCCCAGAAATAACATTTGGCATTTAGCCTAAAATTTTAACATGGGTTGGAGAGTGTTTAGGAGGGGTAATTTGGCTTTTAGTCCAGGTTCGGAGATGATCTTACAAAAAATACCAATTATTTTCCTTTTTTTTATAAAAAAAAGGGAAAATTTTAATAATTTAAGATTCCTTCTACGTTCACAGCACCGAGAGACCGTACTATAAAAGGGAGCACACACCCATCTCCCTGTTTACTTCTCTTTGAATACATTCACTCACTGAAAGAGAGGAGATAGAGAGAGAGAGAGAGAGAGAGTCTTCGCTTCAAGTCTTTGTGTTTCTCCGCAACTATGTCGCTCGTCTCAGATCTCATCAACCTCGACCTCTCAGACAGCACTAAGAAGATCATCGCAGAGTACATATGGTCAGCCCCTTTATCCTCTTACTCTTTTAATCTTCTGTTTTTCCATACATGGACATGCTATACGTATTTCTGTGTATTTATACGCATTTTATACGTATGCAAATGGGTTTGCTTGTTTTGATGAGTACGTTAATGGGTTGGCTTTGGTTTTGTGTTTCGTTCTTGTGATCGACCGCTTGGAGGGTTGATTGTCAAATGGTAAAACTCTGTCTTCTGCTTTTCTGCAGAGAAATAACTCCTGTTTCTTTTTTGGTTTACTTTGCTTTCTGTTTTAATTTCTTGTTTTTCTACTTTGTTCGAGTAAACTTTTTATTCTTTGTTTGCTTTGATCTTGTTTAATTCGGTTGTTGAAGTTCCAAGGTTTTCTACTTTTTTTCTAAAATTGACCAACTATTTATTCATAGATGTGTATATGTATGCTTCCTGTTGAGTGTCACTATCTTTTTTAGTTTGGTTTTGTTAATCCTTCCCAACTTAATCATGTTATTTACTTGGGATTTACCTTCTTTGATTACTTTGCTCAATACTTATGAATTACTGGAACAGGATTGGTGGATCTGGAATGGATATCAGAAGCAAAGCAAGGGTAATTAATCTTCTCCTTCTCTTTGATCTTGTTATCTTGATTGGTTAAGTGTTATCTTGATTTGTTCTTAATTAATTTGTTGAAATAGTAATATTTGTTTTTGTCTGTATGTAGACTCTGCCAGGACCAGTGAGTGATCCTTCAAAGCTTCCCAAGTGGAATTATGATGGTTCCAGCACAAATCAAGCTCCTGGAGAAGATAGTGAGGTTATTTTATAGTAAGCTTTCTTTCTTTTTCTTTTTTTCTTTTAATTTTCTTGCCATTTTTTCTCTTAATAGTTGCATGTTTATATTGTTTAATCGCGGTTATTGGTTTTAATATGTCGTCTTTTTATTGAAACGAATCAGCCCTCAAGCCATTTTCAAGGATCCATTCAGGAGAGGCAACAACATTTTGGTGAGTTATCGACGATCTCCTACCTTTTATAATCTTCAATCTTGTTATTTTCCCCCTTTAATTCAGTTGAGATTGGTATGCTGTGAGCTATTGAACTTATCTGTGTTTCTCAATGATGATCAACTTAGGTGATATGCGATGCCTACACACCCGCTGGGGAACCAATTCCAACTAACAAGAGGGCTGCAGCTGCAAAGATTTTCAGCCATCCTGATGTTGTTGCTGAAGTAACCTGGTATGGAATTGAACAGGAGTACACCTTGCTGCAGAAAGATGTCAAGTGGCCACTCGGCTGGCCCGTTGGTGGTTTCCCAGGCCCTCAGGTAATGGAACGCTCTGTTTTCTGAGGATTTCCGTCATATTCTATGCTCATAATAGTTTACCTAATTCTTACATGTTGCCCGACTTTGGAATTGCTAACTTCTAAGGATTCTCCGGACATATATTCTTATGTGATGGTAATTCTACTTTTTTACAAAAAACATAACTTGGTTATGTTGTTTATTGCTGAACAGGGACCGTACTATTGTGCAGCTGGCGCTGACAAGGCCTTCGGGCGCGACATTGTTGACGCACACTACAAGGCCTGCCTTTATGCTGGCATCAACATTAGTGGAATCAACGGTGAAGTGATGCCTGGCCAGGTAAAAGAATCAGATATATATTTTTTTGATCTTTCTTTAATGTCCTATCTTCTGCCCAAATGTTAAAAGTATTTCTGAATATAATCCGTTAATCAAATAATGCAGTGGGAATTTCAAGTTGGCCCTTCTGTCGGCATATCTGCTGGAGATGAACTGTGGGCTGCTCGTTATATTTTGGAGGTAACTTAGCATGCTTGATTGTATAATAAAATGCTGGTATTACTTTACGGTGTTGGTCAATGAAGTTTTGTTTCTATGCGAACAGAGGATCACCGAGATTGCTGGGGTGGTTCTGTCATTTGATCCCAAGCCAATCCAGGGTGATTGGAACGGGGCTGGTGCTCACACAAACTACAGGTATAATGCCACTTATTCATTGTTGAAGGATTTGCATCTGTTGATCAAACTATGTTACGGTTGGCATTGTTTTCTCATATGATGACGTTTGTAATGTAATGCTGTTTCAGCACCAAGTCCATGAGAGAAGATGGAGGCTATGAAGTTATCAAGAAGGCAATTGACAAGTTGGGACTCAGGCACAAGGAGCACATTGCTGCCTATGGAGAAGGCAATGAGCGCCGTTTGACAGGAAGGCATGAAACTGCTGATATCAATACATTCAAATGGGGTGTAGCCAACCGCGGTGCTTCTATCCGTGTTGGTAGAGACACAGAACAAGCTGGCAAGGGCTATTTCGAGGACAGGAGGCCTGCATCGAACATGGATCCATACATTGTCACATCTATGATTGCAGAAACCACCCTTCTGTTGAAGGCATAAGCACACGCAGCCACACCTACACGCGTGCATTTATAAGTCTTGTGACAACGTAATCGTCTTTCATTGAGGTTGGAAATGTGATTTACCAGATCCTTTTGGATGGATCCTTGTGCGTCCTTAGCTTCAAACTAGAGTTGGCTTTGTCCTTTAAACTCTACTATGCTGTTGCTTCATTGCCTCATCATTCTGCCCGTTGTGTTGAATAAGTTTCTTATATGAATAATATTTTTCAAAGGGCTGGTTGGTTTAAATGCCATTTCACTTGTAATTCTTGAAAATTGCAAGCCTCATCTTTTTTTTTTTTTTTTAGCTGTTCTTGTTAATTGAGTGCATTATTAGCAATTGATAACCTTGGATACACCTTCTTGTTTAATCTTTGTCCCTTTTTTCATACATCTTCCTGTTTAATCTTGTTCGTTTACCAATTTAATTTAATCAATTCAATGACCAGAAATAAAGAAAAATGTAGAAAAAGAAAACAAAAGCTCGGCTATCATTTCCATCTTGACATTAATCTGTCATAGGGTAATTTTTCCACCTGTTAGGGGCCATAATGCCCTTGAATTTGGACCTTAATTACGATGGTGGCAATGTCAATGCAGCTTTTTACTCCATGTATTGAGGGTCAGCGACGGCATTGCCACCCACCATAACTATCACAATGTCCCCAAAATTCTTCTGTTGTTATAAATATTACGTGGATAGTCCACATGAATAGTTTGTTACTATTTATGCACAGTATTTTCACTATTTATTTGTGGAAAATTTGTAAAGTGAATAGTGCTTTATTTTGTTTATATAAAGGAAGAAGATGAGATGAGGAAGAGAGTTCACGGGAAAGAAAGAGAGGAAGGAAGGAAGAGGAAGAGAGAGAAGGAAGAGGAAGAGAGAAAATAGAGGAAGATAAGAGGAGATAATAGAGAGAGTTATTTTTGTACTCCTATTATTTCAAATTATAATGAAAGCACCACTGCTGCCCCGAGGACGTACTCCAGTCACACTGACTGTAGAGGAACCTCGTAAATTTTATGTCTTGTTTCATTTATTCCACTGCACCCACAGTCGATTTTACAACACGTTATCAGCACGAGAAGCTCTCATATCAGTGGAAAGCACAACGCCACAAATCCTGTTCACCTCCTTCAACTGGAATCTCATAGATAAGAAAAAAAAATTTCATTTCATCTTCAAATCTCAGTACAATTGATTTTCTTGAAGCAACTATATATATTGTTATATGACTGTATATCATCCTTTGCAGAAGCAAAAGAGTAAAAGACTCAAAATTTGTAAGAGAATTTGACAGCCATGTAAATAGCCTCGGAACTCCAACTTGCGGACCTCGGATTGAAATACTTTCTTCTTGAAAGTTGTTCGTCTGCTCAGTATCTACAACATATCAAAATTTCAGAAAATGTTAACGGTGCGATCGTCGCAGATGTCTGAAATACCAAACCAGTTTCCAATTTCCGCAGAAAACTGGGCAGCCACCTTATGAGTACCAAAACTCCATTTCGGTAGCTCAAATCGAAATTGTTTCTTCACAAAAGTTGTTTGGTATCCTCTTATCCATATCATACTAAATTTTGAACTAAATCTAACGGTTTGATCTTCTCATAAGTTGCAGACACTCTTGACTCCAAAACTTATGGGAACCGTTTCGACTTTTTCTAAACTCACCGGAGGAGGAACACCAATTGGAACTTATTGTTACTATTATTTACTGAGTAACCAAAATGACTTCGAACTGTGAAATAATAATAAAAATAAAAGGGATGAAACAAAAGAAGTGGCAGACCAAGAAAATGAAAAAGCAAAACATGAGGACTTAATCATTGCATTTTCTGTTTTGGCATATTTATGTGCATGGTGTTGGTTTAAAGCCCATGTCACAAGTTCTATTTATTTAAAGCAATTTATTTATAGTGGGTAGAATTATTACCCTTTGTTTTAAAGCTTTGATATTTATGTGAATGATGCTGAATCAAAGCCCTTGTCACAAGCTTTATTTATTTTAAAGCAATTTATTTACCATGGACGGTTTTACCGCCTATTGCTTTAAGTTTTGATGGTGCTGAATTAAAGCCCTTGTCACAAGTTTTATTTACTTAAATGCAATTTATTCATTATGGCTGGAATTATTGTCTATTGTTTAATTTATTTATTGTACTTATCTTTTGTTACAATGAGTATAACAAGGACCCAGAGTTCCTTGATTAGATCAGAACCTGCAGTTTCTTGATCCTCATCACATAAAATGATAGGACCCGAAGTTCCATCATACAAAAAGATCAGGCATGAAGTCCTTTAATCCTGAAGATCAGGACATGAAATTCCTTGATGAGTACCGTAAGTTTAAAGTGCCGCAGTGCCTCAACTTAACCATAATAAAGGACATAAGAGTCTCGGTTCACAGACTATTAAACAAGGACCAGAAGTTCCTTATGTCTATACTTAAAATGGTTTAGCAGAAGCATTTATTAAGTGGGTGAAATTGATTACCAACGCTCTGCTCAAGAAAACGAAATTGCCAATTTTCTACGTGGGAACATGTAAACTTTACATGATGCATTATTAATTCGGTTGAGATATATTATCAACCATCAATACTTCTAAGTACAACTCAGGTTTGGGAACCAACCAAACATTATACATTTACGAGTTTTTGGTTGTGTTATCTATGTGCCTGTAAGATTGCCACAACGTACTGAAATGAGGCATCATTGTAGATTAGGCATTGATGTTGAACACCATCTATCATTCAATATTTGGAACCCTTGACTGAGGATATGTCTACCGCATGATTTGCGGACTATGATTTTGATAAGACAATTTTCCTGCCATTAGGGGGAGAAAATAATATCGTTCCAGAAGAACGATGAGAAAATATCATTCCAAAAGAATGATGAGAAAAGACCGTCCTAGAAGAACGAAGAGAATTTGTCTTATTTTGATTCACGAAACAAACAATGAGAAAATGAAATTGAAATAATTGAATGATGCAACGAAAGTGATGAAATCACATATACTTACTGCAAATGTGCCTACAAGAATTGATGTCCCTGTTGGACAAAATAATGAGACAGTAAATGATTTATCTATTGCACGCCTGAAGCGTGACAGATTTTTAGACTCAAAAGGTTCAGTTATTCGAAAGAAGAATAATATGGCACTACTGAACTATTGCATTCCCGAAGCATAACTGTTGCATGCCAGAAGCATGACAGTCGCCGCATGGATACACATCCCAGATAAGACAATCCACAGACATAGGACTATTGATGTCTCATGCATGTAGCATGATAGACGTATAGGTTTCAAAGACTCAACTCCCGGAAGTGGAGATTAAAATCCAAGCTCTATAATGCTCAAGAGGAGGTTATGATCCACATTCTCTAAATTATGACTATCCTGGAAGAGATAGCTTCATGCCCTTGAAGAGGCAATGGATATCCAAAGAAATGAAAAGTTTTTATGCATGCGCATGCACATGAGAATATGGGATCACAGATTGATGATAACCAATGGTAATTTTGGTTTTTACAAGTAGCTACTAAATTCATCAATGAGCTGTGTTAATATTGAGTCACGTTCTTTTGTTCGTCGACAAAAGAAAAATTATTGGCCAAAATGGAGAAAGGCAATTCCATTACAATTTTGTAAGAACGTGGACAAATGAATCTATATATATTTGAATACAATACAAATAGCCAAAAGATGTTGAACCAAGGAGGTTACATATCTGCATTTGTAATACACTCACATAATATGACACAAGGTTACTAATTGAAACCTGAAATTATACTCTTGTAAACGAGTTCATATAAATGGAGATTATCTACGAAGGGTTGTGTGTCGCCCACATCATATCTCCATAAGTAAATCCCTCAAGTATACATGGGAGCAAATTGCTATGTATAAATTCCAAAGGAAAATGTGTCATGAAGTGTAGAAAATCCTTGAAGGATTCAAATTGCTTGAAGTAAGCCCCTGAAGGGTAAAGCATAAAATATATACTCAATATCAATGGATGATATAAATTGCTTTAGTGAGTACTATCATTATGATATTCTTGCAACATACTAAAATCTCTTGCAAGAGTCAATGACATTAAATTAAAACTCTTGAAGAGTTGATGATATTAAATTGGGATTCCTGAAGAGTCTAGAAAAATTATAAAGTGTTGAAGGAATTATTGTCTCGAGCTGCAGATTGAACAATCTACCAACACGAATCTTATCCATGATATTTATGATATTAAAAGAACCATATGGATTGAAGATTATGAGTTTAATACTCATATGATGAAGACACTAAAAATAATCATTTATCTTCATGAGGGTAAAGATAAATTAATATTTGGTCAAGAAGTACCACATCTTAGTGAAGTATATGCTTTATTGTATTTGGCACAATACATTGAATGAAATAAAGTTTATTTATTAACATCTCCAAGAAATTACAGATATATACATACACATGAGTTAAAACAAACAAACAGGATGGAGCCGTCACAAAGGTTGCTCATGTGAAGCCTCAGTACTCGGAACCCCAGAAGGGGGAGGCACTGGAGATTGATCATGTGGCACCTCAGTACTTAGCAAAACACCATAAGGGGAAAACATCAGTTGCTTTCGGAATCTAGCAACGAACCTCTGGTGATCACTTTGAATCCGACTTTCGGATTCCTGCAGTTGGACGAGCTTTCTTTTCATGCTCGTAGAGTAATTATTTGCAAGCATGTGTAACACCCTATTCTCGTGCTTGAGCCCTCTGATCTCTTGTTTAAGACTTGCCACCTTCGCCATCAATGATTCAACTTGGCGAGTTTGAGCAAGTAGGCGTTGGCCCATATTGGACACAGAGCCAGCACACTGAACACTGAGAGCCAAGGAGTCTTGAACGGCCGACTCTTCAGACCGTTCTGAAAGGATCTTGTTATCCCTTGGAGTGAGAAGATTCCTAACTACCACAGTAGCGGTTATGTTATTCTTCATCACAGAGTCCCCAACCGTAAGAGGACCATTAGAAGATAAGAAGGACGGGCACCATATATTATCATGACGCTGCTCGTCTATATCACTCCTAAGACTCAAATCTAAGTAAATGTTAGATGGGCAAGTCATTTTTCAGAAATGATGAAGGAAAAACAGAGGTCAAATAAAATTTCAGAAGTGCAAGATAGAAGAAATTTCTACAGGCAGCAACTTTCTGAGCATTACTCTTGAACACAATTGATGTCTCTATAAAAGAAGAGGCAGCAGAGCCACTTGTTCAAAGATCGAAGAGGCATCGCTCTCCGAATTT